CAAGCATTGCTTATAACATCCTTTTTTCAATAGTATTTTCATGTTTGGTCATAAGTAGACAAAGAAAACAGCTAGTCTATGTCCCAATGAGTTGCTTCTCACAAGAACTCAGCTACACTGGTAAAATCAGAATGCAATGGACAGGACTAGCCATTTACAAAAATCACCTTAAATATCTATGTGTCCAAAGCAGAAAGAGCAAGGTCTATAAATCCAATTAAGGTACATCTGAATGTATAAAAAAGCAACAGTCCAATTGATGGCACTAATGCATGTGAAAGACAACGTGTTAACCAAAGACTTGCACGAAGTCTAGAAAAGGGGACGTTGTCCAGGAGCACATCCTGGCCAGTTAGTGGAAGGATGCCAGGCCCTCTGCAGGGGCCACCCATCAGAGGTGGTAACAGATGTAGTGGAATTTCCCAACAACACCTGCCCCCTGCCAGAAACACACCAACCTTCTCAATACAATTTGGCTTCTTGTGAGGATTGCCCTGTACTGGGAGATAATGTGCTGACCAGCCAAGAGGACCATCCCAATCCACCAGGCAGTCATATTTTTATCTGTAAAGTAATACATTTGCATTGTGGCATCTCTAGCAGTTTTTTATGGGCTTGCTTTGATTCAGTCCTCTAAATCCTAGCCAACTCTGGTACTTTGCCCAAATTGAGTTTGGTAAGATGTGGCCCTGGTCAGGGTGACCTCTTTGAGTCATTCCTACCCCAGAAGCCAGCCTGTCTTGACGACACCTCTGGCATTTCATTCCTCTTCAACTCCAACAGTCATCAGCCACCTCCCCATGTGGGAAGACAGTTATGGTAACTGATCATCATTCAATCTTCTTGTTCTATTTGATATGCATGATGATCACCTTCTGATGCTGATTTTTCATGGGAAGATTTTTTATTCTTTGTGTTTTTATTCTTGAAAAGGATTGGGTTTAGATTTCATTTCATTTTGCTTGTTTATGTGTGTGTGCGATATTTGATACATAAGAGTAATGAAAAATTTGAATCGGGGCTTGGGAAAGTAATACCATTGAATTAGATTTGTTTTCAACCCGAACTCTGCTAAGACTAAACTGACAACATTGAGTTTAGCATTTCAAATACAAAAGCTTCGAACTTACATTGGAACTCAATTGCAGAGTTGGAGTGGGAAGCCGAGGTTGAAGTATTGGGTTTCTATGAAGGAAACGCAGGGGCTTCTTTGTCTCACAAACTTTGTTCTTCTTATCCAACAGTGCCTGAAATAACACCAACTAACATCATCCCTTATCTTTGTATTTCCCTCTACTACCAGATCTAGGCCTCAGATCTGAATATCAATCAGAACCAATATTCTCTATGCCTTTGCTAGATCAGTTTAAGAAAGTCCTAACAGGGGTGTGTGCAACTCTGAAGGGATGCTATGATACTCCTAAGGATACATTAGCCACTGACTAAACACGATGCATATTCTTGGTATATCCATTTTAATCCAAGATTTTGGGGATTTTAACTTGTTTTTTTGAGTTTCTAAAAGGTTCTGTGTTATATGTATACAAGCAAAACCCCCAACCCCTATTTCTTCCACATGAGCTAATTTGCTGAATGCCTGGGCAATAGGAAATTTTCCTGTGCAGTAAATGATTGAAATAGTTGGTATGTCTTGTTATGGGGAAACCACGGAGCATTAAATGGCAATTGTCTCAAACTGGATACAGAGCTGTACTTTGGCCTTGAAGGCCTGCATATCCAAATTTTCAAAAATGAACTTGTCTCCTAGTGAAAGAGTATATGTGTTTGTAGTTTTACATACTCTTTTTCTTTTTTTACTTTTGATCACCAAAAGTCCTGCCAAAATTACACATGATATAAGATTTTGTTCATTGGTTCTATTTTCAGCCATAGGGGAATACTTTTAATTTAAAAGGACCAAAATTCTGACTTTGTTAATTTAAAATCATACTTTAGTTAACTTTTCATCATATAATAAATTTTATATATT